CCAATGTCCCACTTCCATGGGGAGTACCGCAGGGCTCCATCCTGGGTCCTCTCCTCTTTTCAATTTACATGCTACCACTTGGTAAGATTTTAGCTAGTCTCGGGGTTAACTACCACTTTCATGCAGATGATTGCCAGATCTTCCTTCAAATCAACCAACAGCACTCATTTTCTATAATGTCAGAATGCCTCTCCCAAGTCAGATCCTGGCTTTATCAAAACTGCCTACGGCTAAATGACATCAAATCAGATGCCATACTTTTTAGCCCCACTAACATGAATGGTGCTTTAGATGTCTCAACTCTCCCACTCAATCACAAATCATGTGCCACTAGCCTAGGTGTGAAACTGGACTCTGACCTTTCAGTGTCTACACAAGTCAACGCTACTGTCAAGTCCTGCTTTTTCCAACTCCGCCGCATCACTCGTCTTAAGTCGATCCTCAAACGCCCGGATCTTGAGTCAGTCATTCATGCTTTCATTACTTCATGTCTGGATCACGCAAATTATGTCCTGAATGGGATTAATGCTTCAGCCTTAAGCAAACTGCAGAAGGTTCAAAATGCCGCGGCCAGATTTTTAACCAACACCGGCAGACCCATGCACATCACACCCATCCTCGCAGATTTACACTGGCTCCCAGTCAAATTTAGGATTAACTTCAAGGTCTTATTATATGTTTACAAGGCTTTGTACCGCCCATCCCCATCCTATCTGACGGACCTGCTGACCCCATATGTTCCCACCCGTGCCCTTTCTTCAGCAGATCATCTGCTGCTTGTTGTTCCGACGGTTCGGTACAAATCACAAGGGGAGCGTGCCTTCTCTCATGCAGCCCCAAAACTCTGGAACTCTCTGCCCCTCCGTGTGCGTCTGGCTCCCTCTGTCAGCAGTTTCAAGTCGGCCCTGAAAACGCACTTCTTTAGCATTGCCTTCCCTCCGTGACACTTTTCATGACAATCCAGCACCGGATCTGAGTTTTTAATTCCATTTTTATGATTTAGTTGCTCACTTCTGGCACCTCGCACCATCTGGTATTTTGTTTTATTTGTGCCATTTTAAATGTTTTTATTATTCGTCGCATTATTTTATTTTTATAGTGCTGTTAACTGTTCTCCTATTTTATTGTTTTTAGTAGGAATTTTTATCTCTGACTATTTATGCTTTGTTCTTATGTATTTTGCCTGTTCTTATTGTGTTTCTTGGTCAAGCATTTGGCTTTTTTATGTACAGCACTTTGGTTAGCTGCCATGCTATTTTGAAATGGTGCTTTATAAATAAATATGGTATGGAGTGGTAAATGTTTTGGAGAAGGAAGTTGTTTTTTTCCACCAACAACCCAAGTGTGTTACAGCTGACATTATGCTGCTCCACCAACTCTGCCAGAGCGGTTCCAGTCCAGATCTCACCAACATCACGGACAGATGTGCACAACCGCTCTTTAACAAAAAGTATCTGAACAATAAATGTCTGTTTACAGTCGATCAGTCCTGCTGTGTGAGCAGACGCAGCTCTACACACATCAGTTTTATGGTAATCTGAAGGTTTTAATCCCAGAAACGTGTGAATGAGTGGATGACTGATTGTGTTGTAAAGCGCCTTGGGTGGTTCTAGGATGCCAGAAGGCGCTATATCAAATACAGGCCCTTTAGAAATGTCTTTGTCCACTTTACTGTGTGTTTCTAATGGTAACCTGGTTGGGTTTTAATGCGACAGCAGCAGTAAATCCACAGCTCAACTCAGAGCAGTGAAGTTATCATGGAGTAAAGCTGAGAGGCTGAATATGAACAGGGGTGCCTAGTTTGCCTTCGGGCGGCCTTGTCCTCCGGCGGGGGTGGGGGGTGGGGGATTGTGGAGCTCGATGCCGCTCTGCCCGATGCTTGGTGGAGACTTCTTTCTGCCGCACCTGAGATGGCTGAACCCGACGCTGGTTCGCCTGGATTACACCGGTGGGCTTTGATTAACTCCCGCTCAATCGGTAACAAATCCTTTATTCTTAAAGACTATTTTACTGAGTATAAGCTGGATTTTCTTCTGTATGATGGAATTCTGGGTGAACCAGGGTGATTTATCAGTGATTGCTGAACTTCTCCCAGCTGACTGTGCCTACCTGAACACCCCAAGGCCCGCGGGCCGGGGTGGGGGATTGTCTTTAACTCGTCCATCTCCTGCAAACCCGTTAACGGATCTTGAATTTATTCCAGTGTTGAACTTTCTGCTTTTGAACTCGGCCATTCACCTCCGATATTGTGCGCGGTGATGTAAGCACCCCCACACCCCCCGACGCTGAATAAGGATTTTATTTATCAGTTTTCAGATTTTTTTTAGTAGATATCTTTCTGAGATATGATAAGATTCTCCTTTTAGGTGATTTTAATGTTCATGTGTGTTGTCATGGGAAGCCTCGTGTCTGGGTTTTCTCATTTATTGGACTCTTTTGGTTTGATTCAGCTGGTGGACGCTCCTACTCACGGACAAACTCACATCCTTGACCTGGTTTTATTTCATGATGTGGAAATCAAGGAACTAGCGGTGGATGATAATGCTTGTTTATCAGACCATCAACCAGTTTTATTTGCTACTGTTGTGCCTCGACTCGGTCCGATTAAGCATGATATGCCGTGTCACTCACGGCTTATTAGGTCATCTATGGCTGCGTCATTCTCATCTCGTGTTGTTGATCTTCCCTCCTCTCCTGTGAACTGATAACCCTGATGAGCTGCTGCACTCCTTCCAGTCTCTCTGCCTCTGTTTTGGAGCAAGTGGCACCTTTGAGGCTGCGGCGCTGTGCGAGCAGAACTGATCCCTGACTTAACTCTGATACTCGTTCTGCTAGACGAGCATGCAGGAGCTATGAACGGAGATGGATGAAAAACAGGGATCCAGCTTCTTTCACTTAGCTGAAGGAGTCCTGGAGACACTTCCAGCAAGTGGTAAAGATGGCTTGAAAAAATATTTTTCTGACATTATCAATAATAATTCTGGTAATCAACGAGTATTATTTTCTGTGTTAAATTCATTTTTTTCCACTGAGCCTTTTCTTTCTGATGCTTCGGATGAGTTTCTTAGATTTTTTGTTTCTAAGATCACCAACATCAGAGCCTTGATCTCACCCTCGCTGGTTGCCTCTCCTGGATGTGACTCCCCTCAGTTTTCAATGGATCACCTTGAGCCTATTTCTTTTTCTTTGCTCTCTGATCTGGTGGCAGGGCTGAAGCCTTCTGGTTCTCCGACTGACGTGATGCCTCCGCATCTTCTTAAAGAGGTTTTTCCTGTGGTTGGCCACTTCATTTTAAATATTGTGAACGGGAATTTAACCTCTGGAGTTGTCCCCCAGGCTTTCAAACAGGCAGTGGTCCAACCAGTTTTGAAGAAAGCTGGTTTGGACTCTACCTCCCTGGAAAACTTAAGCCCCATCGCGAAGCTTCCGTTTTTATCTAAGCTTCTCGAGAAAGTTGTTTTTACACAGCTCTCTGACCATTTGCAGACTTTTAACATTTTAGACCCTTTGCAATCAGGGTTCCGTCCCGGTCATAGTACTGAGACTGCCCTTGTTAGAGTTTTTAATGATGTTCTGTGGTCCACTGATTCCGGCTCCCATGTTCTACTGGTGTTGCTGGATCTCACAGCTGCTTTTGACACCGTAGACCATGCTATACTTCTGTCCCGACTGAACCAGGTAGTGGGTATCCAGGGAACTGCCCTGAACTGGTTCAGGTCATACCACAGCAACAGAAGTTTTAGTGTGAGGCTGGGGGATTTTGCCTCTGAAGCCTCCTCTCTGCCCTGTGGTGTTCCCAAAGGCTCTATTTTAGGACTATTTTTTTAATCTTTACAATCTTCCTCTGGCAGCTATTTTTAGGTGACATGGCGTGTCTAATCATTTGCATGCTGATGACTGCCAATTTTATGTTTCATTAAAACCTCAAGAGTCAGTGCAACCGGCTGTGGATTGCCTGAATGTGGTGAAGGGCTGGCTTTATAATAACTTTTTACACCTGAACGAGTCTAAGTTCAGGGTCCTGTCCTGCCACCCTGTTTTCGCAGCTTATTGAAGCCAACCATCACTAACCTGGGGATGGTTTTGGACCCAGAGCTGAGGATGGACTCTCACACTAGCCAGGTGGTTAGATCCTGCTTTTTCCAGCTTCGCCGGCTATCAAAGATGAAGTCCATCCTGACTAGACGTGACCTGCACACAGTGACCCATGCATTTGTGATCTCTCGCTTGGATTATGCGAATTTCCTTTTTTATGGATCCACATCTTCCTCGGTTGCACGTCTACAGCTGGTGCAGAATGCGGCAGTCAGCCTTTTGACGGACACCAGAAGGAGGGAGTACATTACTCCTGTGCCCAGCTGCACTGGCTCCCGGTGCGCTGCCGCATCCAGTTTAAAATGTTACTTCTTGTTTTTAAGTCACTCTATCTTTATGCGCCTCTCTACTTGACTCAGCTGGATCAGCCCTACGAACTTGGTTGAATTCTTCGATCAGCAGACCACCGCTTGTTACAGGTCCCAAGTGTTCGGGTGAGGATGCGAGGAGAACGAGCGTTCTCAATCTGTGCGCCTCGTCTCTGGAACTAACTCCCTCTAGCAGTGAGAATGGCCCCTTCTCTCTCAGATTTTAAATCACGCCTGAAGGCTCATTTTTATTCCTTGGCTTTTACTTCAGCCTAGCTGGCATTTTACGATGTTTTTGTTTTATTTTTATTGTTTTATAGTAGTTTCTTTACTACTTTTATTACTTCTTCCCGTGTGTTGATTTTTATGCTCTTTTACTGTGCAGCACTTTGGTTGGCCTCGGCCGTGTAGGAATGTGCTTTATAAATAAAATGGAATGGAGCAAATCTCTAGAATGCTCCACAAACTCAACATTACGCTCACAGTGCAGAAATCTTCCAGGAAAAGCGTAGTCTGTTTTTTTAAAGCCAATAAAACAAACTCATAGACAGGGTCGTAAATGTTAATGAGGAGTACCACCGCTCCCACGTTACCTACCTCTCGCATCCTCGTCCTCGATGGTAGTGTTAGCGCTCTCACTGGACTCCTGTAGGAGGACAAATAGAGGACATAAGAAAATGAGGTCTGTTGAAGTAGACCAGGACAGGCTCTGCTAAGCTCCACTTGGTCTGAATGCTATCAGAGGTGATGCAGATGGTGAAGCTTTTACAAAATAAAACTAAAAATCCCAAAAGAATTAGCAGCAAATGCAGACTTGTCAGATAACGGAAAAAAGAAACTTGTAACACTCTTGATGGATCTTACTTCCATTTCACATCTTAAACCACTGAATGGACCCTGTTCCGCACCTCCGTTGTTGAGTCGGCCGACCGAATCTGTGACCGCAGGATCGTCGGTGCCTGTCGTGGGGGCAAAACCCGAACCCCCTGGTGTACACCGGAGGTTAGGGATGCTGTCAAGCTGAAGAAAGAGTCCTATCAGGTCTTTTTGGCCTGTGGGACTCCAAAGGCAGCAGACGGGTACCGGCAGTCCAAGGGGAATACGGCTCAGGTGGTAGCGGAGGCTAAAACCCGGGCATGGGAGGAGTTCGGTGAGACCATGGAGCAAGACTTCCGTACGGCTTCGAGGAGACTCTGGTCCACCATCCGGCACCTCTGGAGGGGAAAGCAGTGTGCTACCAACACTACAGTGGGGACGGTGTGCTGCTGACCTCTATGATGTTGTGGATCGATGGACAGAATACTTTGAAGACCTCCTCAATCCCACCGACACATCTTCCAGTGAGGAAACAGAGTCTGGGGACTTTGATTTGGGCTCTCAAATCTCTGGTGCTGAGGTCACTGAGGTGGTTAAAAAGCTCCTCTGTGGCAAAGCTTCAGGGGTGGATGAAATCCGCCCGGAGTTCCTTAAGGATCTGGATGTTGTGAAGCTGTTTTGGCTGATTCGGCTCTGCAATTTTACGTGGACATTGGGGGCAGTCCCACTTGACTGGCAGAGTGAGATGGTGGTTCCCTTATTTTAAAAGGGGGCCACTGGGTGTGTTCCAACTACAGGGGGATCACACCCCTGAGCCTTCCTGGTAAGGTCTATTCAGGGGTTCTGGAGAGGAGAGTCCATCGGATTGTCGAACCTCAGATTCAGGAGCAATGTGGTTTTCATGCTGGCCGTGGAACACTGGACCAGCTCTATACCCTTAGGGCAGGAGTGGGGAACCCTGGTCCTCAAAGGCCGGTATCCTGCATGCCTTTGCTCCAACACTTCTGATTCAGCAGTTGATTCACCTGTTCAGCAGCTCATCAAGCCCTGCAGAAAACTGTTAATCACCTGCTGATTGAAATCAGGTGTGTTGAAGCAGGGTTGAAACTAACATATCCTGGATACCGGCCCTCAATGGACCAGGGTTTCCCACCCCTGCCTTAGGGGGATCCTGGAGGGTACGTGGGAGTTCGCCCAACCAATCTACATGTGTTTTGTGGATTTGGAGATGGCGTTTGACCATCATCCGGGAGGGGATCGGAGTAGATTCGCTGCTCCTCCACATTGAGAGGAGCCAGTTGGTGTGGCTCAGGCATCTGGTCAGGATGCCTCCTGGGCGCCTCCCTGGTGAGGTTTTCCGGGCACGTCCAAACAGGTGCAGGCCTAAAGGAAGACCCAGGACACGTTGGAAGGACTATGTCTCTCACCTGGCCAGGGAGCGCCTTGGGATTCCCCCGGAGGAGCTGGCCCAAGTGGCTGGGGAGAGGGAAGTCTGGGCATCTCGACTTAGGCTACTGCCCCCGCGACCAGACTCCGGATAAGCAGATGAAAATGGATGGATGGATCTTAAACCATATAGTTAGTCTGCAGCCTGCATGAATGGGTATCTCACTGTTTGTGAGTTTAAGCTGCACATATGTCTACATCAGCACAAAAGTCTTACAACACTTGATGTTTGCTACACTATGACCTGCAGCATCATCGTGAAGCACAAAGTGGCACAACGCATAAAAACAAGCATGCATGTGTTCCCACAATGTCCTTTTTATGGATTATACAGAAAAAAGCATCAAAACACTGTGGATGCTTTTATTTTGAAGAGGTTTAGCTTGCTCCAACAGCATGCAGGAACGTCACTGTCCCACAACAGTTAGAATAATGCTTCCTTTTCTGGCTTTGCACTTCTAAATTATATTTATATGTGCATTTTTTTTCTAATTCTACATGAAATTTCAATTTTTTACTCTAAATATCAAAAATGCCAAAACATGACCATGGTTAAGAGAAAAACTGCGTGCAAATGTTCGACATGCAGAATCTGAAGTCTCATGTTTTGACATGAAGTTAAGTTTTAAGAACCACCAACGGAACACAAACATCACGAGAAGCAACACTCATCAACGATGACGAGAAGCAGCTCTACATTAATGATGCACAGTCAGCCGCCAACTACAGCTTCAAATCAGCGTCTGATCAGCTGTATACCTTGTTTCCATCAGTTGGGTTGTGGATAACTGTTGTTTGAGGCTCCTGATTTGACCAAAAAAGTAGAAGAGCAGGTTTGTGTAAAATCAGTATGTTAGGAAGCAGGAGAAGGGAAATCAAGAGTTACAACGATGAAGAAAGAGTGGAGAATAAGATGGCAACTTGGGGGAAACAGGAAACGAGGTACTGCAATGTTTCTACACACAGATGTATGAGATGCTGTTATAGATGGATTGAATGAGCCCACAACAACAGATAAGGTCAGCTGAATGTTTCTGGACATCTGCTGCAGAACACCCCAGAAGACTAAAACTGCAGAACATCCTCATGGCCACACAGACCCAGGGAATATTTAGGTGTCCCACAAAGTTCAGAGGACTGAGACGGGATTATAAGCTGATCATTGATGCATCTGTCTGTTTGTGGAAATATAACCAAATACAGATCCAACACCACTACTATGAAAAGTTAATAACAGAGCCTTTCATGCAAGTATGTAGGCTATGTAGAAGACCCAGATCTTTAAAACTCAGATAGTGTTAGTTAGACCATGGTGAAGGGTTAGGGTTAGACTGACACCTCGGCCATAAGACAGGTCAAACTGTGCAGTGGGAGCTAAAGCAAAGCTATAAAGAAAATCTGAATCATGTATTGATTGGTTTGACATTCTGTGACCAGATAAAAAATTGTATCATTTTATTTTTGTGTCTAACCAAAGAGCCACCGCCCAGTTTAAGGAAGTAGAGACCTTTAAGTAGACCACTAGGCCAGTCTGGTCCAGAACAACGTCCTATGCCACCTTAACTACTACTGGATCCACTGCTTGATAAATTGAAAGGCCAAACAAGAGCCAGAGTTTTCCCCACCAGAGTTCATAACCAACATGAGTTATAGTATACATCACTGCACTGGTGAATGTAGAAGACACTTAAAGCTATTCCATGGGTCTCTCTCAATGTCAAGGGACCTCGCCTTGATGCCTGGGTCCTGCCCCGGTTGCCTAGGAGATCAGGGACTGCCAAGGCATGTTCAAATGCTCATTTACTACCAAGGCGCCTGTTTTCCATTTGTTAGCCGTTTAGCTAGCCGACCAAGGATACACGGGAGGTGTCTTATAGCCTGGCCTTGATCAAAAATTTCCCTAAATACAGCACGCTATTTTCAAAAGGAGGGCGGATTAGGTGCCGTCAGCAGCTACTTTGGGGGCAAATTTCCAGTTTCAAAGTAAGTCGAGTAATTGTGATAGCTACATTTTTTTTAGATGCAAAGCAGTTATCTATGGTTGGTTAGTTGCTTAGTAGTTGCAGCTTTGGTAGCTAGCGGGTAGTAACTTGCTTACATATTTAATTTAAGCAATATATACACAATTAAAAAAGTTAAAGGCTCAGAATACATTTATATTGAAATGTATACGTACAAAATATAACTTTACCTCACGTGTCACGTCATGTGACCGCCTATCATCACATGTGACGTGCAAGTCTGTTCCATTTAACCGCTTTCTTTGACCAAGGAAGGACAGTGACCTCGTAAGCAAGGCGGTGGGAAACACTCCTTATCTCAGAACATGCTGGCAGTACTCTCCATTCTCCACCAAAGCTTACCGTTCCAATAGGGGGTCCTGATCCATTTGGTTTATTAACCGCTGGACCAGCTTAGTATGCAAGTGTGGACCATTTTACAGGTCACCTGTCAGAGGTCATCACACAATGACTGACTAGTCTGGGATCACTTTGCTTCTAATAGCAATGCTCTGGTTAATGGGAACATTGTATAAAAACATCCTGGTAGAGCACATTAAACAGATAACACTGTTTCAAGACTCCTGCAGCTCAAATCATGAACCAACAATAAAAACATGGTCTGAAAACCACCACAGTGGTTCCCAGCACCATTACAACAGTCACCAACAACAACAAGACTGTAGCTGATGTGCAGCAGCATACACAACTAGCAAAGCAGAATAACGTAGCAATAAAATTCATCTAGGTGAAAAAGATTTGAAAACATGATGTCACTGATGTTGGACTAACACTTCTTTCCACTGCACGTCAAAGCACTGCGAAACACGATTAGCTGCCATTATAGTGGATGAGTTCCTTTCCAACGGCAGAGAAGTGTGAAGTTTTTGGATGCGCCCCAAAAGCAAGGGCACGCCATCATTACATTTCGAGTCTATTTTTGACGCGCTACGCTTCCAAAACACGTCACACTCTGCAGTTTAGATCAAGCCAGACAGGAAGTCAAACACAAAAGCAGTGTAGAACATCCGGAAACTTTCAAAATAAAAGTCATGTGCAGTACATAATTTACTGTGAACTTATGTGACCGATGTAAACGGAACAGAAAATAACCCACAGACATTTTTTCCTGCATGCAGCTGTCTTTCTAAATGTTTATTATTGTTTGTGAACGTCTGAAATCACGTGTGCTGTTGCTATTCTCGGGATCAGCTGTGTGGAACGTTTTCACTCCAGTTTCGCATCAGAATTGTGCCGGGTTGTGAATGAGCTTGCGGGTAGAAAGCCACTACTACGTTACGCCACCACTTTCACGGCCAGTGGAAAGCCAGGGTTAGAGACGGTCATGCAAGAGCAGACAGACAGTGTACCAGAGAAGGAGTGGGGGCAGGCTCTTTGGGGCTGGTGACCACATTAGTCTTGTTGTTGATCTGGAGGGACAGTGAACAGAAAGACAGATGGAACAGGGCAGAAGTGTCCAAACATTCACTGTTCAGGCAGCTGTGGAGGGAAATGGGTAGACTGTGTTCAAGAGCTCAATGGGTTACAACAATCAGTGTTTCAGTAGGAAACTTTCTAAAAAAAGAGGAATATCCATGTTCTTCACAGCTAGATAGAGCAGATAATAAACTTTGTAAATAAAAATCTATCTGGGAATTCACGATTCAGATTTCAACCAAATCAGACAGCAGACCTGTGTGATCGCACCTTTAGCTGCTGCACAAGCTAGATAGCATGTGCTTTCATCTTTTTCCAAAAGTAAATTACCAGTTAATGACGGAAAACCACTGGAAAGGTTTACAGTCTAGTTTTAGCGCAAGTTTTCCAGGATGCTTCACACCAAACTGAATTACTAAAGCCCACTAAATCTCTACCATTGAACACAAGTTGATTGCAAATGACTCATTTCAAGGTTTGATTAGGAATTATAACTGAAATGTGAGCTCAACCGAATGAGACATCTACCACCTACCGGCAGCTACACGCAAAGGAAAAATGCTAAAGCTAGCGAAAATGGAGCAGGAATATTTAGGAGCTGCAGCAGCTTCACGTCCATCAGCAGCGTTTGTTCACAACCGTTTTCAGGTAAAGTAACTTTGTTTATTCTAGAAGCTTTCAGGACTTACATGTTAACTTTAGATGGTTTCATGTATGTTTTAAGCTACAGAATGAACTTGTTAAATGTACACAACACATTACTACAGAGTATTATTGTGTAGGTAATTAATATAAACCAAATGCATTATAAATGTTGAATGCAGTAGGATGTTTTCTAATGTAAACTGGACCTTAGAACTTCTTATTTTGCATCAAATGAGGGTAAAATGCTTTAAGAAACAGGCTTTTTAATAAAATAGCATTGAAGTGTTTTCAATGTGCATTTGTTTATTCAACTTAAGCCTAATAATGATTTGATCCGTCCTAAAAATGTAAATTCTCTGTAGTTTTTATTTAACTATTTCCTGCTGCTTTTCTTTAAACTGAACAGAACCAGTGTACTGCAGGTTATATGTTTTGTTTTACATTTTTCAATAAAGAACCTCTTTTAATCTACACATGATGCCATCAGTTCCATTGTCGCTAAGCTACAAATGCAGCATCCCAATGCATTTGTGGCTATATCTGGTGATTTTAATCATGCCTCGCTCTCTGCTACACTTCCAACATTTCAACAGTCTGTCAGCTGTTTCACCAGAGAAAACAACACATTGGATTTGTGTTATGCAAATGTAAAGAATGCATACATGTCCAAAACAAGGCCTCCTCTGGGACAATCAGATCACAATCTTGTTTTTCTCTGCTCAGAATACAAACCACTTGTTCAGAGGCAACCTGTGACAAAAAGAACTGTGAGAAATGGTCACAGGACTCTGAAGAAGCCCTGCAGAGTTGTTTTGAGACCACAGATTGGATGACTCTCTCCCAAGGATATGAAAAGGACATCAATGCCATGACTGGATAGGTCACTGACTATACAGGTGCTGGCCAGTAAATTAGAATATCATCAAAAGGTTGAAAATATTTCAGTAATTCCATTCAAAACGTGAAACTTGTACATTATATTCATGCAATGCACACAGACCAATGTATTTCCAATGTTCATTACATTTAAATTTGATATTCATAAGTGACAACTAATGAAAACTCCAAATTTGGTATCTCAAAAAATTAGAATATTCTGAAAAGGCTGAATATAGAAGACACCTGCTGCCACTCTAATCAGCTGATTTACTCAAAACACCTGCAAAGGCCTTTAAAAGGTCCCTCAGTCTTGTTTTGAAGGCACCACAATCATGGGGAAGACTTCTGACTTAACAGCTGTCCAAAAGACAATCATTGACACCTTGCACAAGGAGGGCAAGACACAAAAGGTGATTGCTAAAGAAGCTGGCTGTTCGCAGAGCTCTGTGTCCAAGCACATTAACAGACAGGCGAAGGGACGGAAAAAATGTGGTAGAAAAAAGTGTACAAGCTCTAGGGATAACCGCACCCTGCAGAGAATTGTGACGACAAACCCATTCAAAAATGTGGGGGAGATCCACAAAGAGTGGACTGCAGCTGGAGTCAGCGCTTCAAGAACCACCACGAGGAGACTCATGAAAGACATGGGATTCAGGTGTCGCATTCCGTGTGTCAAGCCACTCTTGAACATGAAACAGCGCAAGAAGCGTCTCGCCTGGGCCAAGGACAAAAAGGACTGGACTGATGCTGAGTGGTCCAAAGTTATGTTTTCTGATGAAAGCAAGTTCTGCATTTCCTTTGGAAATCAAGGACCCAGAGTCTGGAGGAAGAGCGGAGAAGCACAGAATCCACGTTGCATGAGGTCCAGTGTAAAGTTTCCACCGTCAGTGATGGTGTGGGGTGCCATGTCATCTGCCGGTGTTGGCCCACTCTGTTTCCTGAGGTCCAGGGTCAATGCAGCCGTCTACCAGGAAGTTTTAGAGCACTTCATGCTTCCTGCTGCTGACCAACTTTATGGGGATGCAGACTTCACCTTTCAACAGGACTTGGCACCTGCACACAGTGCCAAAACCACCAGCACCTGGTTCAAGGACCATGGTATCCCTGTCCTTGATTGGCCAGCAAACTCGCCTGACCTTAACCCCATAGAAAATCTATGGGGTATTGTGAAGCGGAGGATGCAATACGCTAGACCCAACAATGCAGAGGAGCTGAAGACGACTATCAGAGCAACCTGGGCTCTCATAACACCTGAGCAGTGCCACAGACTGATCGAGTCCATGCCACGCCGCATTACTGCAGTTATTGAGGCAAAAGGAGCCCCGACTAAGTATTGAGTGCTATACATGCACATTCTTTTCATGTTCATTCTTTTCAGTTGGCCAACATTAGAGAAACAAACATTTTTTCATTGGCCTTTAGAATATTCTAATTTTCTGAGATACCAGATTTGATGTTTTCATTGGTTGTCACCTATAAATATCAAAATTAAACGTAATAAACATCGGAAATACATTGGTCTGTGTGCATTGCATGAATATAATGTACAAGTTTCACGTTTTGAATGGAATTACTGAAATATTTTCAACCTTTTGATGATATTCTAATTTACTGGCCAGCACCTGTATACTGTATCAAAATATATAGAATCAAATATACAAAAACAGACAATAACTAAATATTAAGAATATATGAACATAATATATAATAAATATTCTAAATAGCAAAAATATTTCACACATAACAAACTAATGAAAATCACTACAGCATTGCACTTAGAACAGAAAACACAAACTAAAATTAAAACCTAACCTTGATGCAAAGTCATCAATAATGTCATCATATGAAATCTGCTCCCCTACTGAGTGATTGATACTAATCAGAGCCAGGTTAGTGAGCCGCCCCTGAAACATAGTTGACCTCAGGTATGACTTGATCAAGCTTTGAAAAGCTCCTCTCAGCTTGAGCCACAGTGACTGGCAGAGCAGTTCAAAAGTTGGGCTAGATCTCCAATAGATCTTTATCATGATCCATAATATTTTAGAATTGCCTCTGAAATTGTAATTTAAACTGACATAAAAACCTGTAGACTACCAAAAATGCCAACTTTTACAGAACAAATCATGTAAAAAATAATCAGTGCAGCTATCTGCAATAAATAAACAGGATAGTTAGTGGTGACTGGGGAGTGACCACAAAATCGTTTTGTTTTTCCTTTTTTTATTTGGCCATTTCACACAATTCAGAAACACCTGAAAGAATGATAGGACTGTGCTTTTGATATTATGAATGAAATGTGCGTTAAATGGAAGAACATCAAGATGTGATTGACTTTAGCCATGTTAATACAGTTGATTCAGCCCCTACCCACTCATTTCATTTGGGAAAGACCCAGAGGTGAATTCCCCCACCGCACCCCTCCCCTTCATCTTCTTCATACACACATGGTGCACCTGAACCCTCTCAGTCAGCAGGAGCGCCTGCAGCTTCAGGGGGCGCCAACTTGCTGTTTCCAGTCCAGACACTGTGGTATGACAGATCATAGAAAACCTCGATGAGGCGCAGATTTCTTTCTTTTTTATTTTGTTCTCAGCGCTTGTGCGCCCCTTTTGTGTCATGAAAAAATGCCGCCCCGGGAAACTGCCCTGTCTGCCCATGCCTAAAACTGCTACCGACGCAGCTGGTCCAGCAAGATCACGAGATCACCGGTGAATTGCAAGATCACGTGTGATTTCGACTGTTTACACGATAAAAAGCAAGGAGAGAGAGACAGTGGTGTATCCTAAATGTCTGTTGGTTATTTTCTGTTCTTTTTGGTCTTGGCAACAAAGGATTCACGGTACTTTTTTTACTAGTTAAGTGACAGGAAATTTGCACGTGTCTTTTATTTAGAAAGTTTCCAAATGTTCAACATTTTGTGTTTGACTTCCTGTCTGGCCCGATCTGAACAGCTGAGATTGATGTGTTCTGGAAGCGTCGTGCATAAAAAAATAGAAGTGCTAAGTATAAATTTAGCTGAGCGACGCAACAGCCCACTTCTGGTATGGAATGCAAGCTGGGACAAAAACATCCAAAATTTTGCGTGTCTATCACACAGAAAGTATAAGTTGTGAATGCAATGTGTTAACGTGTATTTTATGAGAGAAATTCGTGTGAATTCAACCCACAAACAACACAAAATGAACGTATAAAATGTGTTAACAACGTATGCTTTTAGTGTAATCGACACAAAATGTTGCGCGTTTTGGACCCATGTCCTGGTAAATTGCATATAACGTTGGCTATTAGCTACATTTTATGCTTCACAGACTTTACGCATCTGGTGGAAAGTTTCTTTCCTCATTTTAAAGAGATTTTTACAAAAAAAGAAAGAAAAAACACCATTGACTGTGTCTTATTCTTATTCAGTTCTTTAAATGACAAATGTAAAGACAGAATGCAGACAGAAAACTTGGTTCCCAGACTTCCT